TGTGCACTTCTGCTACTTTCTCCTTCCTTCTCTGTGTTAGGCACTGTGTTATGTGCAGAATACAAGGATAAGCAAGGCCAAAACATCAAGGCAGTACCCCTGTCTTCTTAGAGTGCAAGATGAGAGAGAAAATAAGGTAAGAAAAAAGTACCAAGCAAGGTGATGCGGGCTATGATGCACATGTGTCCCCACTGACAAGGGTCCAGAGCCATGGAGCAACTAAGTCTGGCAGGACCAGGAAGCCTTCTCACAGGAAGTGGGGCCTGAAGGGACTCTTGAAGTGTAAGTAAGAGTTTTCCAAGAGGTGGAATTGGATGTAGGTGGGGGAGGGTCTGGGGGGACATTCCCGCAGAGAGACTAACATACTGTCCTGGAGAAAGTGCAGGATGGGTATGGAGAAAAAGCAGGAAATGCAGTAGAAAAAGCCACAAAGGACTCCAGCTCCATGGTAGTTTAGCCTTTACCTTTTAGGAGGGAGGCGTTGGGGGTCATCAAAGGCTTTTAGGCAGGGGAGTAACATGATCAGACTTCTGTTTTAGAAGGCTCACGTCATAAGCAATATTGTCTGTGCTCAATATAAGGAAGAGGCTGCTTCCTGTGTTGATTGGTTGGCTGGTAGAATGTCACTCAAGTACAACAGAGGGACCAGTCGATGTAAAGCAGATTTGGGTGTGTGTGTCAGTGCTAGCCAGGGTAATGGTAGAGGTGAGAAGGAGGAAGGTGATAAGTTTGATGAAGTGGTAAGCAAGATGAGCTTGACATTCTCATGGAGGTGCATTCGGAAGCTGAATGGATGGGTCTACAGCTCCGAAGAGAGGGTTGGGGGGAAGTCATGTAAATTCTCCTCCCTTTTCAAATCCATTTAAACATGGTTCCCAAACAAATGCATGGCTCATATCAACATACTGAGGAAATATCTGAAATTGTTTCCCCAGCTCCGAAAGAACTATTCACACGTCACCCACACATTTACAGCCATCCAAAGTAGAATCTAGACTGAGTCAGAATTGAGAGCAGATTATTTTGAGGGTTAGAGGGCAGAAAATGAGAAGATGAAGAAAGGAAGTGATAATGTTTCTCAGCTGACTTCTCTGTTCACACTTCCTTCTTTAATTTTCCCCTGCCCCATCTTGGGGCAAAAAGCTGCTAACTTCTCCTGCAGAAATAACATCCCTAGGCATGCGGCACCTCTTCTATTTCTCTTCTTTCCCTTCCAGTACTCTCTCTCACCTGCAGACTAAAATTCAGCATGGACAGTCCAAGCATACAACTATATTTTATCATGATCCTCCCTTGCTCAAGAATATGAAATAGCTCCCTACTACCTCTCTAATCAAGTTTGAATGCCTCACTCTCTCCCTAAAGCATCTTCTTCTCTGGGCTCTCCAGCTTGATTTCTCTGTTTGATAAAATGCTACCTTACCTTTATGGCCCATTTCCATCTCACGCTCTGTAATGATAGTACTCAGGTTCTAGGAAGTGCTGACCAGCAGAACTTTCTGTGATAGTGAAAATGTTCTCTATCTGTGTTGTCCAGTACTGTAGCCACAAAACACATAGGGTTACTGAGTACTTCAAACATGGCTAGTATGACAGAGGAACTCAATTTAAACTTAATCTATTTAATTCATTTACGTGTATACAGCCACTCTTGGTTAGTAGCTACTGTACTGAACAGTGCAGTGTTAGGGGCATGCTCATCCTCTCTCCACTACAGTAAGGTGAGGTTTCTAACCTCGCTGAGGCCCTCATTTCTCACTCGCCCCAAAGTGTTCTGTAAACACTGAGCAACTGTCTTCCCACCTTTCCCTCCTGGTCTGCCTATAGCCCCTTCTCCAAACTTCAGCCTGGTTCAGATCTCCTTCCTGAATGGCTGGGAACCTGCACTCAGGGTACAATGACTGGCTCACAAGTGAAGCTTATCATGGTTATTATTTTCATTATGAGAAACAGCTCCATTAATAGTAACAGATCTCTTTGTTTACTTTATCCGGCACAAGTCACACCCACAAAGAAGAGAGACTGTTCAAAGAACCTAACAAGGAAAGTTAATCAAAACCAAGACAAACTCAAGGCCCTAGACTTTCTTCTTAGATATTTTAATCATCTCATGCTAGGCCTGGCTGGTGAGCAACACTGTGGGCTAAGGAGGAGATGGCTCTGCACATGGGATAGAAAGTGCCCCTGCTTAACATTTAGCTCATCTGAGACTCCAGCTGTCTCCCTCCTCCAGGGTTTGGGCCTAATTCCAGCAGTGTGGAAGTTTGTACTGAGCTATCCCCGCTCTCTAGCTTGTAACGGATGGCCCAGTGCCCATAATCACACCAATTATGGTGGGATGTTAACAGGCACTAAAGAAACATTGGCTGGATATAGAGTGAATGGTATCGTTTATGGATATAAAACATGGCAAGGCAGAGCCTTGATGAGATGTAGGCAGACATGGTGGTTGCCTTTCTGACACAAGGGCATCAAAGGTCCTCTTGGCCAGGTCTGAGAACATAAGATGCTCACACTTACTCCTGCCTTTGTCAGGTCATTCTGCCATGCACACATGCTCCTAGGAGGGTTTTTTGTTTGTTTTTCTTATTGTTGTTTTTATTGCAACAAAGCATGAAAAATCTCACAGGACTATAAACAAGATACCAGCAACTAATTTCTTCTATGCTGAGCAAATTCTCTCCAATCTGCAGTATCTTTTTGACTTCTGCTCACTCCTTCCCACGTCTTCAATGCTGTTGGAGACCTTCAGTTTCCCCTGTCCCCCACGGTGGTCCTAATGATGTCTGTGGGCCTCTAGGGGTGGCCCACGGGGCCTGAGCCCTTCTAGTCACCATGTGGCACCTCCCTGATTTCCCCCTCTCCTGAGTTGGCTCCATTTGGTGCCATCACCCCAAAAGCCAAGTAAAGGCTCCCCATATGGCACTGCTAGAAGGGGGTCCTCCCTCTCGTGTCTGATATTGCTTCAGTTGAATGATCACAAAAGCCACATGGGGATGGACTTCACTGAGGCTATTGAGGTGGGAAAGAATGCCTCTGCATCTGCTGGGATGCCTCACTCTTCCATTTTCTTCAAAAGTTTTGTGCGTAGTCTGTCCTTTTCCTTGTTGCCTACTCTCTGCCCTCTTTCTAGGACAGATAAGAGTCCTTGCAAGGTACAGCCTCTAACTTAGAAACAGAGCTGCATACAGTCCTCAAATTCCCCCCTCCCCATTGTACTCTGCCAAAATCATTCTGTAGTTCCTTTGGGATCATTTCCACAGCCCTAGAGCAAGTGATCAGCCCAGAGTGGCTGCTCTTTAATTGCAGAGAGAAGGCCTTGAAGATAGCAAGTAACTGAGGAACAAGATTGCAGATAAAGTTCTTAACTGGACTGCCAAGACACATTGATATAAAGCAAATCCTCTGTAAACAGGCTACCAAACTGTCATCAAAATATCAAACTGCCTTTTCTACATCTGAGTATAAGCACTCTGATGATGATGTCTGTCCAATGGGAAGCTGATTCAAATATTTCTTGCAACCTGGGATACAACCTAGTAATGACCTCACCAGGTCCCTGGTGGGAGGTAAGAAGTAACTGCCAGACGGAACCAGGTATAAGGGTATATTACGGGAGCTCAGACCCCTTGTGAGGGTCAAGGAGCCCAGTTATAGTGGAGTCCTCTTCAGACAGCAATACTGGACCGAAGGGTGAAACGTAGAAATAAGGTGATAACTGGATACTATTGGAGATATAGCTACAGAATGCAGTGGCTAAGGCTGTGAGAATGAACTTTCATCCTGAATCTTGGGCCTAGGTCTCTTCACCCTCCCAACTTCATTGCTTTTTTGGCCTTTGTGGTATACGAGAATAAAAGAGGAGCTGAACAGTTACCCCTGGTCCCCCCGCCTTCTCAGCCCTCTCTGGGGTCCCTCCAGCAATACTTGGCAGAAGGAGAGGAATGCAGACACTGGGTATTAGCAAGCGTGGACAGCAGCACGGGCCAAGGAGACAAGGGCATCATTGAACTGGCTGGGAAAGAAGGAAGATGGGGCTCAGAAGGAGGTGTTGACTGGGGACCAGGGTGATCGACGGAGTGCTGTGGAAGCAAGGAAAGGAGAGAGTGGTCCTGGGTGGGAGTTACCGTGGAGAAAAGATGGGTCGGTACAGGCCTCACTTAATCCAATGGCAGGCAGAACTCCTGTGTGAAAACAAAAGCCAGTTTACAACCAAGCAGCAGGTTCAAGGGGCTCTGGCTTCAAATCCGGCTTCCGAGTTCTACTGGCAGCGACAACCTAACTGCAAAGGTAATAGGAAGGCAGCTGCGGTGAGGTCCTCGTACAGCAGAAAGGGCTGGGGTTCTGTCCCCGGGCCGGGGACAGAACGGCACTAATGACACAGGGTGGGAGAATTCGGAAGGTGCCAAGTCCCTGCAGGCTGGCCCTGTGGCCGGGGTCTGGGGTTTGAGTGGGGCCGGCTGCAGGGGGCCTGCTTTCCACGGCGAGGCCGGAGCTCTCGCGGCGTGCAGCGCGCGGCCCCTCCTCTAGCCGGCCGCTGTGGAAGAGTGCCCGGGCGGCTTCCGGCGGCCTCTGCAGCTGCGTGGGACTCACCCCGAGCCCTCAGACGGAGGCATTATTTTCTCCTCTCTCTTGACAGATACTAACTCCCACGCAGGAAAAAGGAAGCACCTTTGTCAGATGCTGCGGCCACTTCCTCTTCAGAAGGCTCCAGCCAACCTTTCGCTTTGCAGAATGACGGGGCCCGCGGCGCTGCCGGACTGCCTGTGCAGCGAGCCGCAGGCCGCCAGGGTTTTGTTCCCGGCCTCGCCCTGACCGGGAGCCGGGCCCTCGGCTGCTTCTCTGGCTCAGGGGGTATTTTCTCTGATTCAGATCTGGACCCCTGAGCTGGACCTGGCTGTGGTCCCCCCTCTTCTCAGCCCTCTCTGGGGTTCCTCTCCGCCTCTTTGCTCACTGCCACATGTCCCTCAGTCAGTCCGCCTGTCTGTTCCTCTCTATAGCTCGGTCAAGGAGCGTGATGACCGGCGAGCAGATGGCGGCCTTCCATCCATCGTCCACCCCCAACCCGCTGGAGAGGCCCATCAAGATGGGCTGGCTGAAGAAGCAGAGGTCCATCGTGAAGAACTGGCAGCAGAGGTACTTTGTGCTGAGGGCGCAGCAGCTCTACTACTACAAGGACGAAGAGGACACGAAGCCCCAGGTACCAGCCAGGCCGTTTGTCCCGTTCATAAGGCGCGGAGGAGGTGGGCCTGGAGCCCGCTGGGATTGCCCTTAAACTCACAGGGGCCTTCTCATTAGGACTAGACACACCCATTGCAGAGGAGATTGCTTTTTCCTTTACCCCATTTCCTAGATACATAAACTGAGCTGCAAAGATGACAGAGTGGCCCTTCAGGAAGCGCCAGGATGGTCACTGTGGCATTTCCTACTCAGGGCTCTAAGTCAAGACTGGTGAAGGGCGGTGGTGGTGGTGACACTCAGCTAAGGGCCCAGAGAGAGTGGATTGGGGTTCAGGAAAACCGATTCTGGGGCAGATTGATTTGTTTGTTCAGGAAGTATTTATTGAGAATTTATTATATGCCAGACACTGTTCTAGGTACTTGAAATAAACAATGGGCAAAACAGATAAAATTCTCTACCATATGGAGCTTGGAATGTGGAGGAAAAGACACATAAACATAACAAATAAGAAAAGTGTGTAGTTTGTTAGGAAAAAGATTAGTTCTATGAGAAAAAAAATAGGATGAGCTAACAGGTATCAAGAGTTAAGGGAAGATGCAATTTTAAAAAGGATGGTCAAGTGACCTCAGGAAGAGGGTGACACTGGGGCCAAGACTGAAGAGGAGAGGAAACAAGCTGGGTAGATCTCTGGGGAAGACTGTTCCAGGCAGAGAGAACAGCCGGTGCTAAAGCTCCTAAGGGAGCACGTCTAGCTTGCGTGGGGAATAGCAAGGAGGGCACTGTGGTGGGAGCAGAGCTAGCGGGTAGGAATCACAGGAAATGAGGTCTGAGAAGCCAGAGGGTAGTCAGGGGTCCCAGGGAGCAGACTGCTGGGGCACTGCAGGCTGCTGTAAGGACTTGAGCATTCCCACTGAGGGCCACAGGGAGGCATTGCAGGGCTCTGTGCAAAGACTGACAGTCTTGTTTACACTGTGAAAAGACAGCTCTGACTCCTGTGCTGAAAAATAGATTGGCGGGGGGGGGGAAGACGCAAGTGATCTAGGTAAGGGGTTATGATGTTTAGGATCTCAGTAAGAGTTGTGGGCTGGAGGAAAATGGTCAGCTTCTGGATATACTTTGAAAGTAGACCAAACGAGATTTCCTGATGCAGTGGCTAAGCCTGTGAGAATGGGCTTTCAGCCTAAATCTTGGGCCTAGGTCTCTTCACCCATCCAACCTCATCACTTTTTTGGCCATTGTGGTGTGCAGCAATCAAAGAGGACACGCTGAACAGTTACCCCAGGACCTCAGGTGCAAACTGGATGTCTCAGGGTGTCCAACACAGCTGGTCACTCACCTAGAACTCATGCCTGTGAAGATGGAAGGGTGGTCTTGGCCAGAAGGAGCTTATTCAGGAAGACAGACTCTAGAACCTTCTGTAGCCAGAACAAAATCCCAAGAAAGGTGAGGACAAGAAATGTGTAGATATTGGGGGTGGATGGTACCAAAATGAAAAGGTCATTTTGGAAGAGGACAGTTTTCTTTAAGGGCAGGCTTGAGGATTCATTACGTATCAGCAGGACTTAGTTAACCAGTTCCTCTACTTAAGAGCTCTGAACTGTGTTTGTCACTGCAGAGGCCAGGGAGGGATCACAGGGACTCCATCACAGACTGGACTCTTGCCTAGTGTTCTGTGTGTGGTAACCAGACTTCCTTCTCTTTATAAACACCCCAGACCTTATTAAAGCCAAGCAATTCCGGCTAAGATGGTGGTTGACGTGTTAAGACAATAGAGGAAGTCTTCCTATCTGTAGAGTGTGAGGGAGATGGCAATTAGGCTTTATCTGGCCATCCCAAATCAATGAAAGGGGCAGCTGAGTGTGTTTCCGTGAAATATAGAGGGTGAGAGGTACTTTATATCAGATTATGTGTTCTTTCCCTGGTTCCACCACTGTGTGGCCCTGTAATTATTTAATTTTTCTGGACTCCTGTTTATTATTTTATAAAATCAGACAATACTACCTGGCCCTCATTTGTCACAGGATCAAATGATATGAAGCAGGTATAAAAAACTGTTTTGTAAAAATATAAACTAATGTCAAAGAGTAAAATAAATACCTAAAGGTTCTTGCTTCTCCTCTTTACTTCTGGGAGGAAGAAACCCAAAGCCTTCTCAGGACTAAATTAGCCTGAGATAATTAGGTAGCACTTCTAGGATGACAGGGTAATTTATTTGGGAGAAATCTATTGATTTTGGATCAATAGGTCAAGTAAGCAAAACCACACAACCCTTCAGTAGATGGCTGAAAAACGTGTTGATAAAATCCAACACTTATTTCAGTTATGAAAAATAGAAAAATAAAACTTTTAGGAATAAAATAATAATTCCTTAGAAAGAATAGTGTATTTTACTGCATGTTGACATGTATATTTTGATTACAAAAGCTTTTGCATGGTAGGAAATTTGGAAGATGCAGAAAAGCACAAAGTAGAAAATAAAAATTATGCACAATCTCATCAGTAAGGAATAGCCACCTATATCCCCTCCACATTCAGTCTTCCCTATGCATATGTGTTTAAGAACTCATCTATTATAAATGCAAAATATGTATAATAAATGTTATTTAATGAAAAAGTTAACACTATGTCATGAATTTTGCCTCCTAACATTAAATATTATTCTACAATGTAATTTTTAATATCAAAACAATCAAGAATATTCTATAATTTATATAATTAATTTTCCACTGTTGGGAATTTGGGCTGATGTTCATACTGTTATCACAAATAACAATTAAGTAGATTCCCCACAGCATTGTTTACATTAGTGATGTAAAAACAATGACCACTGGTAGGGGCTAACTTATATTAGGCTACATTTATATGTGTATACAATAGAATACAATTCAGACATTGATGCTCCTAATTAATACTTTTTGAAAAGGAAAGATGTCCATAGTATTATTGTCTTTAAAAAGCAGTTTACAACAGAATATGATGTATATACTTATCCCATTCTTGAAAAAAAATCATGAATTTGTATTTATGGAAAAAAGCCTAGAAAGACATACACAGAAGTATTAACCATGGTTATCTCGGAATACTGGGGCTACACATACAAGTTTTAATGTTTCTTTTATAATATTTTTATAATTAAAGGACAATAGTTGTAAATTTAAAAGGAATGCATACAATCATCGGATATATCCCCCAAGATACCAAAAAACAGAAACAGCACAATAATCTTGGAGCAATCAGGTGTAAGAGCCCTCACATACAATGATGATGTGTGTGTCCATTGGTACAAACTTTCTAGAAAGTCATTTGGCTAGATTTACTAAACATGAAAAAATTGTCAAACCCTTAGACACAGTGATTCTGGGTCTACAAAGTTCCAAAAGAAATAATAAGAATATTCAATGCTTTTTAAAAAATTTTTGGGCCGGCAGCGGTGGCTCACGCCTGTAATCCTAGCACTTTGGGAGGCCAAGGTGGGTGGATCACCTGAGGTCAGGAGTTCAAGACCATCCTGGTCATAATGGTGAAACACCATCTTATATAAAAAAAAAATTTATGGAGACAGTCTCGCTATATCAACCAGGCTGGAGTTCAGTGGCACGATCTTGGCTCACTGCAACCTTCACCTCCTGGGTTCAAGCAATTATTCTACCACAGCCTCCCAAGTAGCTGGGACTACAGGTGCATGCTGCCACGCCTGGCTAATTTTTTATATTTTTAGTAGACATGGGGTTTCACCATATTGCCCAGACTGGTCTGAAACTCCTGAGCTCAGGCAATTGGCCCACCTCGGCCTCCCAAAGTGCTGGGATTACAGGCGTGAGCCACCACACCTAGACTCACCGCTACTTATAATGAGAAACACTGAACCTAGCATCTGACAAAGGAGAATGTAAATAAATTATGGAACCGTGTATGATAGACTTTTCTATATGTGCTTTTGAGGAATCTTGTGGCCCTATAGAAGACGTCTGTGCATTTTTTTCTTGAGTTCTCAGAAAGATCCTGTCCAGTTTCAACATGATAAGGCTGAGTAAGTCAGTGAACTAGCTTTATATAAACCATTCTAAAAAGTTCTTTGTCAGGGAAGTTGTTTCAAACAGAATCTCAGCTTATTGCCCTCAAGTTTCTGTTACAATGATGGTCTCAGACAATCCTAGTAGTAAGGTCGACCCATCTTCCCATTTTCTCATCTGTTTTCTGAGACTTTGCCACAAGTGATTGTCTACCAGCAATGTGCTGGTAAATAGTTAACAATCAGCCCTCTGATGGGAGAGTTGATTGAAGTGCAACATTTGCTAATTTCTGTGCTGCAGATACTCTGGTCATGACTGATGCAAGCTACCAACGTGATTATTTGAACACTGAACTCAGAGTTGAGAAGAGACATGTAATAGCACCATGTTATATAGGATTTTCACCACACAGATAGAATAGAGGAAGTAATCACAACAGCAGAAATGATAGCAAAATATAGCAAAGAATCAGAAAGTTGTCAATTTTAAGTATCCTTACCTTTTTAATAGAAAATACTTCATTGTAAGCTTATAGAATTTAAGTTTTAGTAATAGCTGTGTTTAACTGGCTTAAAATGCAATAGTTAAGTTCTCATGAGCCAATATAAGCATTTTGAAAAATGCTTTATCAAGGAATTGGGCTGAAATTTAGTTCTAAATCAACTTATAAGTGGATTTAAAAGTTATAGCTAGGGAATTCTAGATATTTTTGTACCTCACTGTCACAGCTGTCTCCACTGCTTTACTGCTGAAAGACTTATAGCCCCCTGCATAAATATTTCCATCCTTCCATCTTTAAACAGAGTCCACCCCAGTCAACTTGCTAAGCAGATGAAAGTGGCTCTGGGTAACTTGGGCCCTTCTCTTCCTGGAACAATTCTTCCTTCCCCATCAGTGTCCCCACCCTCACCCCTACTGGTGTTTCTTCCTCTCGTCTACCTTCCTCTTGCCATTTATGAAGTTCAAGGCTCTCATGCTGAGTACAAGGAAAGGGCCTGCAATTAGTCATTTATGCCTTGGTGTGAACATGTTTAATTCTGATTGTTAACTTCTTTCAGCAAGTGGGACTTGTAAGTAAAGCCTTATTTGTAATTCTGGAATCACACTGACTGAGGTTGGAATCGTAGATTTCTTATTATCTAGCTTTTGTGATCCTGGGTCAGCTAATTAACTTCTTTGAGATTTACTTCTTCATTTCTCCAATGGGGGACAATAACGGTCCTTCCCTCCTAGACTTCTTATGAAGGTTAGATGTGCTGATATATTCAGGGCAATTGGCATAGTCAGACACCTAAGAACTGCTCAATAAACGGCATATATATTTTTAGTATTCTATTGTTACAATTTCTGAGGAAATGATTTTGGGTATCAAATGACAGTTTAGAGAAGTACTTAGAGTAGGCAGACACCTCTGCGATTGCCCTTTCCTTCTTTTACCAGACAGTGCTCCGCCCTGTCTAAAAGAAACAGGGCGTTTTATTCTGGTGCCATAACTCATCCAAAGTAGTTCAGCAGTACAACCTCAGGGTCATTTTTTCTGAAGGCATTGATGTGATTTATTGAAGATGGTGAGGACTGTGTAGGTGGATGTTATTTTTAAATAATAAAATTAGAGGAATGTAGAGGAATTGCAGAATTCCATTTTTTTAGACTGATCTCCTCCTTCCCCTTCCCTTTTCTCCCTTTCCTTGCCTTTCATTCTCATTCTCTTCCTCCATTTGTTCTTTCTCCTATTCCTTCTCCTGCCCTTTCTGTTCCTCCTCCTCCTCCTCCTCCTCTTCTTGTCTTGTTCTCCCTCAGTCTTAGGCATTTTTATTTCTAGACCCTCAAGAAACATTTATTTTCTTAGGCTCCTAACTGGATCTTACTTCTGAGATTTCCTTAAAACTTTTTTGTCTTTATAGTATTCTTTGCCACCAGTCATCTCCATCCACACTTTGTTTTGAAATAAAAACATGTGTTTATTCAATTCAGAATCAGACCTGCTACCTTTAACAGTCAGCGAGGTGTAAATTACAAATAACTAGCTCCAGTGCAAATTAACTATGTCACTTTGTGCAGTCACTTAAGACATTCGAAGCGTCAGTTTCCTCGTCTGAAAAGTAGCAGTGATAAATCTTGCTGTGCTATAGATATGGAGCTGTTGTAGGGGTCTAATGAATTATCTCAAGTGGACCAGGCACGGTGGCTCATGACTGTAATCCCAACACTTTGAGAGACTGAGGTGGGTGGATCACCTGAGGCCAGGAGTTCAGGACCAGCCTGACCAATATGGTGAAACGCTGTCTCTACTAAAAATACAAAAATTAGCCAGGTGTGGTGGTGTGAACCTGTAGTCCCAGCTATTCCAGAGCCTGAGACTGGAGAGTTGCTTGAACCCGGGAGGCAGAGGTTGCAGTGAGCCAAGATCACGCCATTGCACTCCAGCCTGAGCTGGAATTATCCCAAGTGAAATGCACCGTAAGTGATCACTGTAAGTGATCAAGCACCATGCAGACACATGATGGAAGCAGCTTGTTTTTCTGATAACATACCTGTGTATAAGGGATAGCAAATCTTTACTAAACCCTCAGTCCCCCTCCATGGATCTGGGCTTGGAGTTAGGGTCATCTGACCATTTCCCACAACCTTAGCTGTGATGGTGAGGAGCACTGGCTTTGTACTGACTTCTGAGATGAACTACCATTCTGGCACTCACTAGCTCTATGACTTTGGGTAGATTAAAGACGCTTTCTGATCTCTTTTCCTCACCTGTAAAGTGTGCATGATACTTTGCTTGGAGGACTGCTGGAAGGACTAAATGAATCATATGTTCAAGGTGGTTAGCAAAGGTACAGGCACTTGCCACTCCCATCCCCTCAAATGATGACCTGAGTGCTTCAGTCCTCACCAAACCCCTCTGGCAGGCTGGCAGATAGTATGGTCTCCCTAGCCTTCACAAAGACCAAGTGTCTTATTTGGCCATGAATTTGGGTCTTTGGAAAAGTGGAAAGGGGCAAGTATTGGTGATGGCACCCTCTTAGCTAATTCTTATATCAGAACCCTGTCTTTTCTCTCTGGGAACCTGCTTTGCTCTCGAATAACTGCCCTTTAAGTTGCCCAATGCCTGAGTAGCCGAAGGGGCCCCATTAAAACTGAGATGCTAGCTTCCCACGTCCCTCTCCTCCTTCTCTCCTCCCCATCCCATCATTATCCTATCTATTCTCCAACTCAATTTTACTTCATCGGTGTTAAATTGCTGCTTATCCTTAAAGTCTGACTTTTCATCTTTCAGGGCTGCGTATATCTACCAGGAAGTACAATCAAGGAGATCGCCATAAACCCAGAAGAAGCTGGGAAGTTTGTCTTTGAAATTATTCCAGGTAGGCCACAACAGGTAGGACACAGGAACAGTACAGAAATAAAAGTCTTACAGAAGTAAAATTCTTTACAGAAGTAAAATTTTACTTCTGGATCTTAGAAGTCAAAGCTATATGAGGAGAATCATTCAACCAACTAACGAACCAGACTATTAAGAGCATACAGTGGTTCTGTATACAGTTAATGAAGCTATCCTCATTTATTAACTAGTATAAAGTGCTTGAATAACGTCCATGAAATAAGTAGGTGAGCATTTTGTTCAACGCTGTGTGCTAGGAGCCAGGTACTGTACCAGGAACTGAGCCACTCACTTGAAAAGTGCACTCTCTCTACTCACTAAAATGAACTTAGTCTAGATGGTGAGTAGGTCATTAGATTTCAGTTAAAATATAAATAAGACCATGTGAAATTGCCATTCTATGGGTCAAAAATTGTGAAAAGTCAGCAGCCCCAGGTGGTTCTGCAGACCTAATGAGAAATGACAGCTCCAACTTCCCGAGCACTCAGCACATGTCAGGTGCTGCATGCCACCTATTGCATACATGACTGGCACATCGGAGGGTGTTCTTTCAAATCAAGGGTTTCCTTCCTCGAATGCATTTGGAACAAGGGGAGTTTGGGTCATGCTCCTGGATCTGCCACACTGAGATGCTTCTACCCTTCTCCCTGTCGCTTGCTCCTGTGCCAGCCCTAGCCCTGCCAGGGGCTCCAGAACGAGTGACTAATCTGTCTGTATCACCTTGCTGCTACTACTGTACTGACCACAGCAGAGGAGGCCACATGGTCCCTGAATGCCCCTTTTCTTCACTCGCTCCTTCCCACTCACACAAGGTGACTGTGTGCATAAGAAGGTTGATGGAGAAGGCAGCGTAGCATAGAGGTTAGCAGTGTCCAGTCTGGAGCCAGCCTGCTCTGATCCTGGCACTTACTGTTTGTGTAAGAGGTTACTTAATTTCTCCCTGCCTCTGATTTTTGTCTATAAAATGGGGACAATAATGATGATAGTGAAGGTTAAATAAAGAAATTGATATGAAACATTTGGTACAGTGCATATCATATCAGTGTTTGCTATTTGGGAATAATCTAGAGATAATTATAATGCAGAAAAATCCCAAACTTGGCTATGACTATTTATAGAATACAAATAAAAACATTTTTAAGTTCCTAGATGGCTCCCTCAGGACACTGTCTTGCTTGCTTTTTTAAATTTTTAAATTTTTATTTATTTATTTATTTTGAGATGGAGTCTGGCTCTGTCACCCAGGCTGGAGTGCAATGGTTTGATCTGGGTTTACTGCAGCCTCTGTCTCCCCAGTTCAAGCAATTCTCATGCCTCAGCATCCTGAGCAGCTGGGACTACAGGTGTGTGCCACCATGCCCAGCTAAGTTTTGTATTTTTAGTAGAGATGGGGTTTCACATGTTGGCCAGGCTGTTCTCGAACTTCTGACCTCAGGTGATCCACCTGCCTCAGCCTCCTGAAGTGCTGGGATTACAGGTGTGAGGCACCGTGCCCAGCCTCCCTTGCTTTTTTATCTGAAAGTCTATCTTCCTCTCTTTCTCTTCAGAGGAAAATCAGGAAAGTCTGCTTCTTCAGTCTCTCCTAGCTAGGAAAATCTCTCTCCCTTTCCACAATGGGTATTTTATTCTTAGGATTCCTCTCCCAGTGCAATTCATGGGACACAACCATCTATGGTAACATGTGTACCCTAAAGTCTGGATTTTCAACCTAAAGAAACCCTACTGAGAGACCCAGCTGAAAATTCACAGTGGGCTTTGCACCAAAAATACCTACTCTTCAACATTGCTATACCAGTGCAGGAGGAAAGTTTGTTCTCTTATTTTCACCCATGTTTGCAGCAGTCTCCTTGGCTGCTAGAGGAATTCTCAAACAAATTCTCTCTCTCCTGTTTCTCCCTCACCCCACCCCCACACAAATACATCTTATAAAAACAAATAATTCTAAAGTAATAGTAAGAATTTTCTTAAAGATACCATCATCTGCCAAGGTTCCACCCAACCCTAAAGTGAGACATCCTTCATGTTATAACATAGAGAATTTTTAGTTCCTCTTTGTATCATCCTCTTTTGCAAGATGATTCTCGGGAGCTAATGTTGGTATAAGAAATGGGCTTCCTAGATAGGATCTTCTCTCTGTGATCACCAGTTTTAGCTGAACAAAGGCCACTCGGAAACCTTTAATTGTAGTCATGCTAGATTTTTTTAAATTGGGTGCAGGTGACAACTTAGGGTAGGCTTCCCTCTCCCTACTGACCTCTCATAGAGTAACTATTCTCCTCCCTGATTCCCAGGAAATCACCAGGGATAAGGGGTTTTTCCTTCTGTTGCGTATGTTATCTCATTTAGCTCTCAAACCACTTTATGATCTGTCGTCACTCATTTATACAACAAATTCACTGAGCACCTCCTATGAGCCAAGTCCTATTGTAGGACTGGGAATGTAGCAAAGAACAAAGCAGCCTGCATGCACCTTGCAGTCTAGTGGGAAGAGACCAGCAGCAAACCAAACACATGGGCAAATTATATAGTTTTTTGATAGGATAACAATTATGGGGAAAATTAAACCAAAGAGAGAGAAGGTGCTGGCTGAGGTGGTTGATTGGTTATTGTGAACAGAGGCAGCAGAGTTTGTGTCATTGAGAAGGTGATTTTTGGGCACAGATCTGAAGGCAGTGAGGGAGTCAGCTAAGAGCACAGCTGGAGAAAGAGCATTCCAGGAAGTGGAAATGACCAGTGCAAAGTCTCTGAACCTATTTCATATGTTCAAGGAAGGCCAAGGAGGCCAGTGTGATTAGAGTGAAATGATGGCAGGAGACAAGAATAGGACATTTACTCAGTGGTAGGCACAGATTTCATAAGCACTTGCAGGCAATGTGAGATTTTTAGCTTTTCTGCTAGAACGAGGGGAAGCCACTGGAAAGTTTTGAGCAGAGGTGTGTCATGACATGACTCATGTTTTAAAATTCTTTTGAATTGAAAATAAAAGTAAGTAGCAGGGGCAAGGCCAGAGCAAGGAGACCAGTGAGGAGGCTTTTGCAAGAATCCAAGTCAGAGATAGCAATGATGAAGGGTCTGAGAAGTAAGCCATTTCTGATTACATTTTGAAGGGAGAGAGGGCTTCATTTGCTAATGTATTGGATGTGAGAAAGAGAAATCAACGTTGACTCCAAGGTTTTGGCCTAAACAATGGAAAACATGGATTTGCTGAGGAGCTTTGCTGAGATTTGTGCATGTAGCAAGCTTTTCTGAGTTGGGGATAAGGGCATTAGTTTTGGACATATTAAGTAACATCTCCATTGTACTGGTAAGAAAACTGTTGCTCAAGATAATTTAGCTACTGCAGTGATAGAGGTAAGGACAAGATATTAAGGGATTATAGAATAAGGACTCCCCACTCAATTTGGAGTAGGGGAAAGAAAAGGTCCCTAGAAAAGATAACATTTGAGCTGGGTTTTAAATAATGGATAGGAGTTCCCTAGACAGATTGAGAGGTCCATTTTCAACAAGAGAAACAGCCCAGTGGGTAACACATGTTGAACAGCCTATGTTTAAGTCAGAGAAATGATATGCATGAGGTCAGAGTTGCTTTTCATGAGCTTTGCATTCATGTCAGACACTTTCTCTGAATGAAAGTCTGTCCTACACCCCAATTATCCCCAAATATTTACTTTTTTTGTAGGACAACAGAAGACTTTTAAGTCTCCTTTAGTTCTGGTCTCTTGGACCTATCTTAATGTCATCAAGCTTCACCTTATTTCACCCGTTGGGACAACCTGTTTCTCAATCATCCTGTCATCAGGCCATCAGCTCTCCCAACCAGAAGAGTTAGTTCATGGAAGTCCTCCTCATTCAGAAACATCTTGAGACCTGGGTGTTTCCCAGTGGGGTGGCTCATGATAGAACAAAAGGAGCTCCCAGGAATCAGGGTAAATTGAGAAGGCATGTTTTAACAACATAGTAGACTGGAGTTGAGGCATGGTAGAGAGGAAAGGGGAAGGACACCAGATAAACTTTGTCCAAGGTCAAATTTAGAAGCAGTATATGCCAAATTTAGAAGCAGTATAGGTGGAATCTTTCGTCGGAGTAAGGAGACCAAAGGTCTTGCCCTGAGTTTGGCAGCAACTCACTGGATACTGATGGATTGGTGCTTTTGTGTCTCTGGGATTCAGTTCTATTATCTACAAAACGGAAGGAATACTAACTCCTTATTCTATTTCAAAGGGATATTGTAATTCCTAGAGGGTCTTTTCATCCTTTCCTGAGTATTTTTTACTTATCATTTTACTTCTCAAAACATACAGGTCTCAGGATACTCCTAATGGCCAGGGCCTTAATGAACTGACCCTTCTGGTCAGAAAACCTGATGACCCAATGACAAGATGGATTCAGAATCAGGTCATCCCAAAGAGTGAAAGGAGGTGAGGCTCAGTGATATTAAGATAGGCTTAAGAGACCAGAACCAAAGGGGATTTGAAAGTCTTTTGCTACCATGCAGAAAAATACAGGTTTAGGTACAACTGCTCTGCTAGAGCAAGCTCTCTGAGGGAGATGGCCTGCCATTGTGAGAAGAATGGATTGATGCTTACAAAGCCACTTTGAAATTTAATAGTATCCCATAATGGAAACTGATAAATATTATTTTCTTGTCCCCTTTAAGATCTTTTTATTTTGATGAACTAAAGAAAATCCCAACTTCAAGGATTTCCATTTACAAGGAGGTCCATGGATGAAGTTAGAGTTCAAGTCTCAGATCTGATACTAACTGCATGGTCTAAGACCTGTGTTTGATACTCTCCTTTCCCTTCTCTTGCTTCTTTCTCCCTATTTTTCACTTTCCCACATTCTTTCTCTTGGTCTCCTCCCTGCTCCCTGTCCCCTTCAATTTCTCCTACCTTTTTTGTGCATTTGAGAACACCAACCAAGGAAACAGTTCACCTATCTGTAATCTTAGGTTTGAAGTGAAAATGGTAAAGAAAGTTCTAACAAGTTTCATGTATCCATTACTTGAGTATGAACCTTCATTTGCAAGGTCTTGTGTGGTCAGGAGAGCAGAAATATGATCATCAAGCACCAATTTTATGAAAAAAGCACACATGTGCTCACTGTCACTCCCACCTGAGGTTTTCGTCCCCTTCGCTACCCCCACAACTGAGCTCTGGGCTAGCTTAGGAAAGTATCAATGATTGGCGTGATGATATAAAGTATTCTAACTTTTATGTGCTGACCCTGTTTCCTTCGTGCTGAAACTGCACCATGAACCTCCTTTTCCTTTTGGTAGGAAATGACTTCTGTCCTCTTCATGAAAGCAGCTCTCAGTCTAAGCCATCCCAATTACAAACCATTATATTCAATGATTTGTATGTAGTTAGAGCTTCAGCAGAAACAGTAGGAGTGCCTGAATATCCAGTTCTGCTGAGGATAATTAGACAATGCATTGTGTTGCTTGCCTGGTAGTGCTTCACTGGACCAAGAAATCAATTCAGGTCTGGTTCCCTTCCCCTTGCTTTCATGCCTTTATCACTCTAAGACCTTCACAAGTGCTACTTCTTCCTCCAGCATCATGGGACCAGAATCGCATAGGACAGGACTCCTATGTCCTCATGGCCAGCTCCCAGGCAGAGATGGAGGAGTGGGTTAAATTCCTCAGGAGAGTTGCCGGCGCACCCTCTGGAGGTAAGGACCCCGGCAGGCTTTCGTGGGCAGGCACCTATGACATCTCAGGGAGTAGGAAGTAGCTCCAGATGTGGTAGCTCCTTGAGCAGTGCTCAAGAGAGACAACCAGAAAACAGTTCTCTGCATATCTATGGCCAAGTCCTCTGTCAAATGTGGAGGAAAAGTGGACTCAGAGCTTCTAGCTTCCCACCCCCTGCCCCACCCAGGTCATCTCAAAGAGCCATCTCCAAATTAACTGGAGGGAAAGCAAGTCCTTTGCACTGAGTAAATGTGCATGATATCTGGAGCAGTTTTTTCTCCTCTCTGGGCCAAAGTACTCTCGTCTGTAAAATGAATGGCTTGGATGAGCTGACCCTGGTCCCCAGCAGCACTGGCTCATGCAGCACCGTGAGTCTGCCTGGTTCTGGGAGCTGATGGCAAGAGCTATGTTGAAAGCATGAGTTAGGCTGCATAAGTCAGCACAAAAAAATAAAGCTGCTGTCCAAAAGAGGGGTGGTCAGACTGGGGAGGGTTCAGGAATTGTGTCTGGAATCTTGCAGGTATTCAGTAAAATGCTGATTTCTGCACACCTGCAAGCATTCAACACTTTTCTGGGTTTCACAGCTTAAGAATTTGAGCTCTCTGGGAATCCTGGTGATGTTTCTACATTTGAGGAGGGTCCTGACTAAAGAAAACGGATGCAAAAACCATCTGAAATTAACAAACACATGAATCTAGTATGTTTCTCTCCTTTTATAAAAATATGAAAGAACTGACATGTATGACTTCTCAAGCTAATATTTTCCTTCAACTTTTTAGGAGCATGCCTACTTGGGTCAACTCCAGATAATCTTAAATATATAATTATGTGTTGACTGCGTGGTGCATTATTTTGGATATCATTTAGGGAGGCTTTCATAGTTTGAATGTTAAATATTTATTGACTGCCCAAGAGCGTCTTTCAGAAATTTCAAGAATACCACAATAATTTTCTGAAAAGTAAAGAAAAAATACTCCACCAGAGGCACTTTTATGTTTTTCTTTCATCTGCTGTTTACATATATACACTTTTTAAAAAATTTTATGGCTGAAGCCTTTCCCCCGAGTTGCTATGGAATCTTAATTGATACATTTCAGAGTTTATTTGGTTACAAATAGAAATCATATCCAATAACGTCAAGCAATCAAGAGAAATTTGCTGGTTAGATACATTAGCTTCTCCAAGAAACCAAGAGCAGAAACTGCCAAGAGGTCCGATAAGAGTCTGGGACCAAGAAAGGGGACATCAGCATTGATTTTACCCTGTCTTTTTCTCTGGGAGCAAATGACCAGCAGGTACATGATTAGGCAACATGCCGGAAAATCTTAGCTGTGACCTTCCTTATTGTGCTGGATTTTGAGATTGTGAGCCGCCCTTTTTCGTTTTCTCCGGTTCAGTGCTTTAAGTTATCTGCATAGACAAGGGTAGTGGATGTTGCCTAATCATGCACCTGCGCTGAGTCAAAATGCTATCCGTGCACTTTCACTAGGTTCTGTGGCTACTGTGATGCTTGGCTGAGCCTTGCCATAGTGAACTGTTGTACTCTGTCATGATACACATGGGGATTTTACCCTCACCACTCCCCAAGACCACCACCCTGAGAAGCAAGTCAAGCATAAGTCCTGTAGGCGGTGGAAAGTCCAGGGGAGGGAAAATCAGAGTGCAACACCACTTACTTATTCAAAAAAATGTTACCTCTGATATGGCATCTCAAAATTTTTTTTTTTTTTTTGAGATGGAGTCTCGCTCTGTCTCCCACACTGGAGTGCGGTGGTGCGATCTTGGCCCACTGCAACCTTGGCTTCCTGGATTCAGTGATTCTCCTACCTCAGCCTCCCAAGTAGCTGGGATTACAGGTGTGTGCCACCACATCCAGCTAATTTTTAATAAAGACAGGGTTTCACCTTGTTGGCCAGGCTGGTCTCGAACTCCTGACTTCAGCTGATCCACCCGCCTCGGCCTCCCAATGTGCCAGGATTACAGGCATGAACCACCGTGTGCAGCCATTTTTAAAGTTACTAACCAAAATCATAGATTCCAGAATGTGAGGGAATTTTTAAGACAGTATAGAGTCTCATTTTAGGCCACTTGAGCTAATCAGAAATTTATTCTTACTATTTGTAAGTTAGGGAATGTTGGTTTTAAAGGGACAAATGACCTGTCCCATGGGTCCAACAGGTGAGGCGCAAGGCCAGGGCTTTACCACAGCACATTACCACTTGGAAAGCACTTCTAACATGGGTTGACTAGATGGGCAAGTGTTGGAAACAGATGCTCAGTGCCACAAAGAAAAATTAGCACTGAAATAAAGGATCACTCAGCAAAGCAATTTTTACTTTCTGTAGGAAGGGTACCCTCACCAGCCATCTTGCCATGAAAGTACTACGAACAAAGGAAAAGCAGACATATTTATCCCTTACATATTTGAGGATTGTCCTTACTGCCATGTTTGATCTCTGTTGGCTGGAACCAGACCTCACAATCTAAACTAAAACCCAAATGGCTAACAACTTAAAACTTTTCTAAATAAGTAAAAGCAATGGAGAACAAAAATGAAGTCCAAATAAGGAAGGGGCATAGGCTATGAGCTGGGACATGCCTGTGAACACATCCAGCACAGATAATCCTGGTTAAAGTACAAGGACATAGAATGTACTATGTGCCTGTAAGCATGTTTGACAACTACATAGGATAGGACTTAACAAAGAGTTAGTAGCAAAAAGCAAGAAGGATTTGTTGTTTAACAAGCAAGGAAACTTTGAAGAGGAACTTGTCTGCTTTCCACAGCAAAGTCTGCCTCCCAAATACTGTAAAGTCACTGAGGCATGTTCCTGCCACCTCTTTCTTGCCCTTTGTGAAACTTTCTATGGTTTTTCCACCCAGAGCCTGTACCCTTCCCACTACCTTCACTACCACCCTGATGCAATTGGAATCCTTTCTTGTCAAAGTACAGTTCTAGCCTTCAAACTCATCTCCACACATTCACCCCTGCCATCTTACAGTCTGTTTTCAACAGAGCAGCCAGAGTGAGCTGGGTAAACTTGTCATACCAAGATTCTTCTCAGCTCATCATTCTCCAGAGGCTTCCTTCCTCACTCAGAGTAAAAGTCAAAAGCCTTATAATAATCTTATAGCACACAGTCTGTCCCCCTCCCCTGCATTTCTCCTCTGAACTTGTTTTCTAGAACCCTCTCCCATGCTCATTTCACTAGCTTCACCAGCCTCTTCAAACATCCTAGCCTTGTTCCTGCCTTCAGGCCCTTGCCCTTGCTGTTTCCTCTGCCTGGAATCCTCTATCCCCAGGTAGGTGCATGGCTTGGTCCCTTAACTATCTTCAGGTCTTTGCTCAAACATCACTTCAGTAAGCCTTCCTGTATCATTCAGTTTAACATTGAACCTTTCTAACATGCTAAATATTTTATTCATTTGTTTTGTTCCTAACTAGACTCCCCTTACTGGAACAAAAGTTTCAATCTACTTGGCAGGAACTGTTTTTTTCTTTTTTGTCTTGTACAGTATCCAAGAATCTAAACAGTACTCAACAAAGATTTATTAATAGAATGGGTGAAAAAGTGACCTCATTTTCCCATAGTAGCACTATGTTCTGCTCCCTCAATAGGCTCTTTTTGGTAAGGTAATGATCAGATTATCTGAGAGATTATTCAGTAAATGGTTTGTGTCCTCTAGAATTATACTGTCTCCCTTTACGTATGTCAGTGGTGAATCTTGGTGAAGCTCTTAAAAGACCCCCTTGGAGAATCTGATGAAAGCTACAGAAATTCTCCCCAGAAAAAAATATCTAGGCAAAAACAATTTTGCTTTCAACAGCAAAATATTTTTAGACACCTGTAGCCCATCGGTACACCCTAGGGAATGAATCCCAATTTTCAATTTTAGAAGTTAATCTGATGACAATTCTGCAGAGCTGATACCTCTTTTGGCCCACAGTCCCCTTTTGGGCTCCTTTTCTCCCTTGGCTGGAGAGATGGCCCACATGGTTTTCACAACATTCCTAACTTCTTCCTCACTTCTTCCTCAGGGCTTCTCCTGCCTGTAGTTGGCTCTGAGCATTCATCTCACCTTAGAGGGCAGCACATTGGCATTTCAGTCTTTTTCTTCTCAGTGGGCTAATTTCTTACAACCCTTTCCTGAGGCTTGTGATTTCTGACAACTCACTCTCAGCTTACTCCTGCCCATTTTCTCTAAACTACTCCCTCCTTTGAGTAAGACATCCATGCCTTCTCTGGATCTCCACACTGGTCCCTGTCCCATCTCCAGGGAGCAAGCAGTTCAAATTGCAAATTGTCACTCTGTCCAGACCTGCTTTTGTCCTCTTCCTCCAGAGATGAGCCATCTGAGGTTTTGCTCAGGCCATTGCTGAATGAGGAAACAATGCATTACATTGTCCTGCTCTACCCAACCCAAATTTAAGGTCCTCAAACAAGTCCTGTGTTTTTGAAATTATTATTAATTTCTATAAATTTTGGAGTACAGGTGCAATTTTGTTACATGCATAGATTGTGTAGTAGTGGCCAGGGCTTTTAGGGTACCATCCTCCAGATAACACACATTGTACCAATTAGGTAATTTCTCATAATACACCCCCTTCCATCCCCTCATCCTTCCAAGTTTCTGTTTTCCATAATTCCACACTCTATGTCCATGTGTACACATTATTTAGCTTCCACTTGTAAGTCAGAATGTGTGATATCTGTCTTTCTGTGTCTGACTTGTTTCACTTAAAAATGGCTTCTAGTTCCATCGCTGTTGCTGCAAATTTCATATTTACTTTGAAATTTCATATTTACTAGTCTTTGGCTGAATAGCACGTATTCCATTGTGTCTATATACCATATTTTCTTTATCCGATCATCTGTTGATGGACAGTTAGATTGATTCCATGTTTTTGTTATTCTGAATAATCCTATGAGAAACATACAAGTGAAGGTATTTGTCATAATGATTTCCTTTCCTTTGGGTA